TCCTGGAGGGCCGGTGTCCTGAAGAGTTTAGCTCCAACCCCAATTAAACACACCTGAAGCAGCTAATCAAGCTCTTACTAAGCATACTAGAAACTTAAAGGCAGGTGTGTTGAGGCAAGTTGGAGCTAAACTCTGCAGGACACCGGCCCTCCAGGACCGAGTTTGGGCAGCCCTGGCCTATGTGTTCCTGGGCTTATTACGATTAATGGAAATCTGATGGTGGGGGATTTTAGTTTGATTCTTTCTGGAGCTTACGCCAGTAATGTGGTGCCAAATGAATGCCTTTTTTTAGTGAGTCATTTGAATCATATTCAACAGATTCGCTCAAAAACTATGATTCGTTTACGTACCAAACAAGTGACTGCCTTAATGGGTGAGTCATTTAATTATTCATTCAACTGATTCATGGATAAACTTTGCTTCCTTCACCACTGAAACATCACTGCTATGTTGATCTGCGGTCTGTGGCCTCGCACCTACGAACGACCAACAATTTTCAGAAATAAGAGATAATAATTAATAAAAGACATTTAAATGTTTTGTTTTCTACAGGTTCTGCCAAAAAAGAGGATCACAAACATATTGTAGACTTCTATCCAGAGGACAACAACTGTCTACAAATATCCTTCCACGTGGTGCAATATTATTCTACAGCAATCGCCACCTTTTGTCATTTTTGCATCAACTTAGATAAATGCAGGTATATAATCACCATATTTTCTCAGATTGACTGTCTTCTGAACTCCGTCACAGTCGGTGGACATTTCCAGTACAGTAACCTACTACAACTTTTGTTTTCTCGCAGTTCCTGGCCGATGGCCAAATTGCCCATGTCTTTTATTTATCCCAAGCTTATCAAATCCTTGATTCTTCACCCACAGTTTTCCCATTCAAGATGTCCCTTTGGTTCAGAAGTTGAAAATAGTGTTTGAAAACAGTGCTGACTTTTTTGGAAGAATAATTGTTTACACATTGGAAATCCTGGGGGAAAAGGTTTTGTAATGTTTTGAGAAAAGGACAAAGAGGAAGTATGAAGAGGCGGGAATGCTAACAATTTTTCCCCCTTCCTTTCACCTCTGGATGTTGAATTTATTCCCACCTACTCACAGGAAAAGCATAAACTGATGTTACTTTTGATTTCATTTCCTTTTTTTCTACAGAGCCTCTATGTATTATATTCACATGTCTTTTCAGGTCATCACACATGAACTGCATGTCTGTAAAAGTGTTTTTTAATTTAAAAAGATACAAAAACAGTTCTTCACATCGTCCATGTCAAAATAAAGCTATAAACTATGCAGGATAATTGTAAGGTCTTGTAAGAGCAGTCCTCTGCTTCATGTGTTGTCAGACACTGACACTGGTCCCCGAAACAGCTTCAAAATGTGATCTTCAAGCAGTTTTTGCACTGCAAACAAGTTGGTAGACTTGTCAGTTATTAATTAATCATTTAAAAATGTATGATTTGTTATATCAATATACTGTAAGGAATGACTCTTGCCTTTTTTGTGGCCCAATGCAACAGCGAGAGCAACAGGACTGTAGCCAGAGTCTGCCTCAAATGTGATATCTGCCCCACATCCTAAACACGAACTTACTTTAGTTCATCATCACAAATAATAAAATGCGAGAATATTTTGAAAAGACTTACTCAAGAGAGCTTCAACACATTTTGTGTGATTCCCACGAACTGCATACAGAAGAGGGGTCCCACCATTCTGTTAGAAAGTTTACGTTTTTACATTTGAAAAAAAATTATGCAGTATTTAATGGTTGTGTACAATTTTTAAATAGTGTCTAAAATTTTACGAACATTTTCAGAAAATAATTAAACCGCTCATACCCAGTCATAGGAATCGATATCAACGCCATGTTGTAGGAGAATATTAACAATGTCTGCAAATCCTCCTGCGCTGGCCAAAGACAGGGCACTTTCTCGTTCCCGAGCCAGTGTTCTTGGATCTGCTCCCTGATATTATTAAAAAGAAAAGTAAATGCTATATATTGTCCAGTCTTATTGGCTAAGAAAATGTCTTTCTCACCTTCTGAAGGAGGAACTCCACCATCATTATCTCTCCAAATGCAGCAGCCCACATTAGTGGTGTGAAACCTCGCTCATCTTGACTGTTAAGCAGAGAGCTGTCTGCAAGAGTACCCATACATACATACAGTGGAGGTCAAAATTAGAGAACAATCTATAAATACTTGATTTTTTTCTGAAATATTGTTAATCTTTATCGCTCAAAATTTGAAGGAATATTAGCTGTAGGTATACCACTATACTAACATGTTTGACAAAATAATCAAGGCATTTCAACAAAAAATGTTATTTTGTGTAAAACACAGTGATGAAAATTAGAGAACAGTAACCACTGTTGCACGAAAAATTACAACTAAACTTTTGGAGGGTTACAGCTGTCAGAAATTAGTAGGAAGTGTAGAGGCCCTTGCTTTGAATGACTTCAGCACATCTGTGGCCACAGGACATAGTTTTCAGACTGCGCTGGTGTGATCTTGATCCACTCTTCTTCTGCTCTCTTCCATAGTTTAGTAACTGTAGTGGGTTTTTTAGCCATAACTTTGTTGCCAAGGATTTTCCAGAGATCAGGTGTAGATCAGGACTCTGGGCCGGCCATTTCATTATTTCAATGTTCTTAGCTTCAAGGAACTGCTTTACCTGTTTTGCAGTGTGACAGGTGCATTGTCTTGCATGAAAATTGCAGGCTGATTTGGAGATGCTTGCAGGGAAGAAACAGCATGTTGCTGTAGGAGGTTCTGATAAACATTTGCATTCACCTGCCATGTATCTGTAAAAGAGGCCCAACTCCTGCTGCAGAAAACATCCCCCAAACCATGACATTTCCTCCTCCACCTTTCACTGACTTCTTTACACACTTGGGCTTCAGTCTCTCCTCAGTTTGACGCCGAACAAAATGTTTCCCATCAGACCCAAATAAATTAAACTTGCTCTCATCACTAAAGTGAACTTTGGACCAGTTCTCCTCTCTCCACACAACAACGACAGCAAAGGTGAGTCTCCACATTATCCTGTCTTCTCATCCATTTTTCTTACATGGACGTGGCCTTTTTGGGGGACTAATGTCATTGTAAAGCTGCAATATTTGAGAAATCACAGATTTGGAATGACCAACTCTCTTGCAATAGCCGCCTCCTTGCAGGTTTTCAGTCACCTTAGAGCGGCCCGCTATCTTGTAATCTCAATGAAAATTGGAGGAATGCTATCAGTTAAATAAGGTTTGTCATATAAATTAGCACCAGGTGCCAGATTAACACCAAGAACTTGGAGGTATCTGTAAGTGTTCTCTACACTGTAAAAAATGACCGTGAATTTAATGGTAAAAGACTGTAAAAATGCTACAGTAAAATCCTGTTAAATGGTTAACGGTAAATTCCCCTACTATATACGGTGAAAAACTGTATTGGACATTACATGTATTGGACATTAATTTTACGGTAGTATACCGTTTTTGAAAGTGAAAAAGACCGTTTAATTTACAGTGAATAACTGTAAATTGACATTCCCAGAATTCCCTGCGTTACATTTCAAATTTGATGTTTTTTTGTTGAAATAACTATGTTTCTTTTTAGTTTTTTCTTATCAGTTTTGTATATTAGGGTTGTGCGTTACACCTAATGTTGTTCAGTTAATGTTTATTGCATTATTTCAGTTTCATGTGTGTTACCATGATGGTGTTTGGTGTTTGTGTGAATGACACTGTGCACCTTCTATATATGTTATTATTTAAAAGCTGCTTGTGATAGGCTTTGGTTCATCGTGTGACTTTCTCATCACCACCTGCATTTGGTGGTTATCAGTGTATTACAAAGGTACAAAACAGATTTTAGTACTTCAATAGGTTGGTATATCATAACATTTTATCAGTTAATGAAATTACGGTATTTAACTGTAAATTTAAGTTAAAACCGTAAAACCTAAAACGTTGCTACCGTATTTTTTACGGTAAAATTCCGGCAACCACAGCTGCCGGTTTTCTACCGTAAATTTTACGGAATTTTTTTTACAGTGTAGTCAGTTATTTTCAAATATCTCATTTAAGTTTTTTTTTTACTGTGTTTCAGAATACAATTAATTTATGAAATATGCTTAAAAACTGCCCTTCTACTCCTGTTAGGATAACTTCAAATCAAATAGGACTAAGCAGTGACCTTGAAATTTTGGAAATTGTAGGTTGTTCTCTAATTTTGAGTTTAATTTAAGTATAATAACCCTACATGTAGTGTGCATGAACCATTATTAACCTCATATTCCTTGCAATCAGCTGTATGCAGCCATTTGTTCTCTTTTTTTCTCTCTTTTTGCGGATGATGATGTTCTGCTTGACCTTTAATGTTTGTAAAACACAAATGAGTAAAAAGTCTTGATCAGTCTTTGTAATAGGAACGAAGACTTTCTTTATTCATTTCTGATCCTAAACTTGAATCATCTAAGGATTTTTGATATTTGTTCCAGATCTTTGCTGATATATCTTGTTAAAGATCCCGTTTTATGTTACATTAAACCCCACATCCTCTACAGACAAACACTGTTTTGCATACTGTAATGTTCAGGTTCAATGGGAGACAGAAGCTTCACTTCAATAGTGGGATCTGGCCAGACTATCAAAAATGAGCAACTGTGTTTAACCAGTGGAGACTGCAGAAAGCTGTCTGAGATTGCTTAATGTGAATCTTGGTCAAATGGTTTGCCCCAGTTGCAGAACTAAATGCTTACATGAGAGATTATGAAATGTCATCACAAGAGCTGAAGTCAGATATAAGCCAAGCACTTCGTTTTTGAAGTCCCTATCTGAAGTCGCAGACAACAGCATGTTGTAAATGACAGCATGATTGCTAAAATACCTCATTGTTAAAATCAACAAGGTCAGACAGGCTTCTTATATCTTTGCAACACTGTGCACTTTTACTGCCTGTTTTTATTCTATTTTATATATGGAACACCTTGATATTTTCTGCTTCCTATACTGACATTGTTTATGGGCAAGTTATCAGTTGCAGTGAGAATGAGATGAGATTATTGTAATAATATTGCAGTGTTTGTCTTGTTAATAGGCTGAAAACGTTGTGTATTATACATTTTTCTTATAGTGAAAGCTTTAGGACAATAAACAAACAAAAGTATAAAAAACATAATTCAACATTTCGTGTCCACATATTTATTTATTTGGTGAGTAGCTGTGTAATAGTCGAGATAATGTACAAACAGATGGCCATTATACCAAAAAAACAAAAACAAGCAAGTCATTTATTTTGAGATAACAACTGTCAGACTGTGCATTATCACTTACATATCCAAACAAACCTGATAAAACTTCCTATGCATATTAAAACAAGAAAAGAAAACAAATAAATAACATGTCTTGTTTGCTATTTGAAATCTTCAGACAATAAGGAAACGTTTAATACAGCTGCAAATGAAATGTTACAATCAGATGAAGACAGCAGGTGAACAGTTTCACAGTTACAAAAAAACAAACAAAAAACCTTCATGCAGTTTTCATGCCCTCAATTTAAAGAGTTTTACAACTTCTGGTCTGTAGCTACACCTTCCACAGAGAATTCACCCGTGAGTATTGCTCAAACCCTCTTTGCGATTTGTTCCTGTGTGACCACAAAATTGAGATGGCTGCAACTTCCTGTCTTTGGGGCCTGTTAGGGAACCAGTAGTAATAGAGCAGCAGAACCGAGAGGAAGAGACCCATAAGAGCATTAGAACCAGACCGGAAGGGAACTAGACTTGCTAGTTTTCCTCACGATTAGAACTTGCTGTTGTTGATTTTTTTCCGAGTACATGAAATCAGGGGGCCGCACTGCGCTGCAGGTTGGAGTGAGAGTTGTAGAGACAGAACTCGTTGCTTAACTCCGCCTGCTTCTTTTGCAACTGTTTCGAGGAGGAGTAAAGTTCCTCCTGCGCTTTCTGAAGAAACAAGTCAGATATGACAGGGGATTTCCATTACACTAACATAATATTCTCAATAAAATAAAATGAGATATTCTTTTCTTAAAATAATTAATTACATCATCAACAAAAAGCCTGTTTTAAAAGATGTTTCTTACCTCCACCTGCTGTATATCAACATACACCAGTAGAGATGCCAGCTCCAGGTTTTCACTAAAGCCATTCTTTAAAGGGACTGATCTGTACCCTGTGAAAGCAGCAACTCAGTATTTGTACTTAAATCTGCTTTCATTTGCACAATGTTTCACAAAACAATAATTGACTGAAGCTGATAGACTTACCTGAGCGAACAGCTTTCACAGGGAACGTAGCCTGGGCCAGGAAGTTGGGATCAGAGAACATGTCCTCCTCAAAGACCACAAAGCGCAGAAAGGTGAGGTCTGGTTCATACACGCTGAAAGTAAATGCCTCCGAAGGCTGATAGTTCGGCCCGAGCCATATAGGGTTCAGTCCGTTATCATCTGAGGACACATTTATTTATTTACTTACTAAATCTCTACAGAAAATACTTCAGTGACTGCCCTGTTTTTAAGAGGCCAAAAATAATAATAAAAAATATAATAATGCATTTTGTAAAATTTTAAATGACTTTAAAAATTATTATAATAAAATATAAATATATAAATTACACACACACACACACACACACATATATATATATATATATATATATATATACTGTATATATATAAAAAAATTGCAATTTGATCATATATATGAATAAGTATGAAAAACAAAATATGAAAACTGTTAAACACTATATGTGAGTGTGTGTGTGTGTGTGTGTGCGTTTTTATGACAAATGAGGACATAAATTTGTATAATGACAAGGGTATGACATAGGTATTACAAGGAGAAGGTGACTTTTCAGGACATTACCCCATGTCCCCACTTTTCAAAACGCATATAAATCACACAGAATGGAGTGTATTGAAAATCTGAAATAGCACAAAGTTTCCTGTGAGGGGTAGGTTTAGGGTTAGGGTTGGTGTAGGGCAATAGAATATACGGTCTGTACAGTAGAAAAACCATTACGCCTATGGGATGTCCCCAATTTTCACAAAAACAAACCTGAGTGTGTGTGTGTGTGTGTGTGTGTGTGTGTAAAACTTTTTGTGTTTATGTGAATAAATTCTGATTGAATAATCCAAATCATTTTAA